TAAACATGTCTTACATGTGTAATTTAAAGCTAAGAACGTATGTCGGAAATATTTGCAATTTTTGAACCTAATATTTAGCGTTTAAAAATAAATTTTTAAAAAAAGAAATATTTAAAATTTTGTTAATTATGACAAGTAATTAACAAAGCAAACCTTAAAATCTTAAAGAAATAACATTCCAGTTATGCTGTTGTTAACATTTAGTTAACAGCCAATTAACAGTTAGCATTTTTACACATAAATAATATTGTTGACAATATTAAACATAGAAATACAGATATTCCGATTATAACTAAAGTTCAATCATAGAAAGAAAATAATAATACGTATAATATAAAGTATAATTAAAAATATATTATAAGAAACAAAAAATAATGAAATAAAAAAAAAAAAAATAATAAAATATATTTGTTGTTAAAAAATCACACCATTAGTTCTTTAATAAAAAATAAAAATTGCAATTTTCATAGTTGCTAATAACATTCATAACACATGGTAGGTGTCAATAGTAGGAAAAATAAACAATGGTATTCTTCAAACAGTTCATTTTAGCTCATATTTTGCGGTTTTTAATGTTCTTAGCTACAGTATCTACTAATCGTTGCTGTTTTTAGTACTGATAGATAGCAGTTTCGTTTGTTTGGTATTTTAATGCTGTTACCAAATATGTACTTTTATTTATTTTATTAATATATAAACCACGTTGTTTAAAGCTATAGAATAAGAAAAAACAGGGTATTAGCTCCCATTTGAGCAGAGCACCGCGACCATGATTGATCTTTTGTGCTACAACAGACCCTAACTGAACAAAAGACATTCCGCCTTTCGAATGAAGGCCAGAATGTCGGTTGTTGAGGACCTCCTAATGTCGGAAGGTGCTAGCATGTTTAAAGCTATAGAGGAATACAAATATTTGAGGAATTTATATTCAATGTAGCATTTTAAAAAAAAATATAATATATTATATTATTATTTTAATAGTGTTATAATATTTTCTTAAGCAATCCCGTGACCATTCGTATTAAATTAATATTATATATTAATATATTTTTTTGTTGATTACATTGCTTTCTAAAAAAATTGAGTTTTGCTTAAGTAACTCTATTGAATAAATTAGAAATCTTTTTTTGTCAACTATAATATTTTATATACATTATGTAATTTTTAAAAATTGAAATCAATAAAATATAGAAATTGTGATAGACAGTTATTTATAAAATGTTATTTCATTTAGTTCGTTAAAAAGTTGATTGCAATGAATTTGCTTGTTTTATAAGTAACTCCTACTTTAATCATTTACTACTGATTTGATTACTGATAACAGTTGATTTGCTTTAAATTGTGGACTAATTGCCTTCTAGTTTCTGTAGTATGAAGTTTCTGTAGTGTGAAGTTTGAAAATAGCACTAACTAATATTTATTAATATTTATGTGTTAATATAATGACCCATGCTCTTATGCGCCCAATTAAGGTACATACTCGTATAATTTAATATTTCAATTAAGTAAAAACACTTGAATCAATTAAGCGAATCAAAACAAATTATTTATGTCGCTTGAATAATAAAACATGAGCAACTGTGATTCGGAAGAAAATTTTGTTTTTCATACTAAAATTAGTACAATATTTAAGTAGTTATAATATTTCTATATTTTTGTGTACTATATAAGGTTGGCTTATATTTTTACTTATATATATATATATATAGAATATATATAGAGTATATATATATAGAATAACATATATATATATACGTATATGTTATTTTATATATATATTTATATGGATTGATAGACAGGGTTAACTAAGATGTAATTATTTGAAAGAAGGTTTGAGATAGTGATAAATAGAGGTGGAAACTGGAAGCCGGTACATCATTCAGCAACAATGATTATTAATTAAAATCTATGAAATTTGATATTTTTTAAGATATATTTCTGTAAACTATAAATCTACTTATAAAAGAATCTATGAGTGAAAAGTATAAATATAGTCTTCAGCACATAAAACCTTTAATGACGCTGGTAGCAGAATATAGTGAAACCATTGTCTATATTATAAATATAAGTAAAGAGTAGAGTTAATTCTATTTACTAAAATTTAATAATAATCAAATATCAAGATATCTGTAGAGAAAATAAATTATTTGAAATTTTTAACATTAAGAATATTTATTATTCTTCATTTTTATTGTTAGTGCTTTTATCAAGTACATTGGGTATTATTTATTTTCTTAGCAAAATAAGATAAAATGGGCGATATCCCCTGATAGTAACATAATTATTCAATGGTTACATTTTTTTTGCTTCATTAAAGTTTTTATGAAAATAAGCAATTATTTAAAAAGGAAAAATTTATACTTAAATTTATGTAGCAGATCAATTTAAAAATGTTGCTCATAAATACAAATTACCAATTTATGCTGCACCCAACGACTAATGATCTATCGGTTAATTTTATTTAAATTGCAGTTGGACCAGAATTTTTTATTCGGCACTCATAAGTTCTCTGAATGTGAATGATTGAATTTTATATAAGAAAATAAATATTTTTGTGTAGGTTTATTGGTATTCTCGGATTTTCAACTAAAAAAATTTTAAAAATTAAAACTTACCAACTAAAAAATGATTTCGATTTTTTTTAATGAATTTTGGCATGCGCAGATACTGGTTTTAATTGCTGGAAATTTATTAAACCATAACCAACCCGAACGATTAAAATAATATTTTTATGGAAACTATTAATTAAATATTTGTAAAAATCAATGAAATCAATATGATCATGTTATTACATAAAATTATTAGAATCTATTTGGAGTTACTTGAAGCGCATAAATTGTATGTCATAAGATATTACAGATTAATTTGATATAATCATTAAGTGATTTTATTTACAAACTTGCAATATCTGCTAACATTTTATTTATTTTATTTTTTTAATAAATTGCTATCATTTTTAACATATAAAAATAAAATATTATATTTATATTTAATAAATAAAAATGATTTTAGATTTTTCATTTCAACTTCAATTTATTAATTAAAATTGAAATTCTACAACTGGTAACTAATAACCAGTAACCAACACAAATATTAACTTTAGACTCGAATTTTTTAGAAACTGTTACATTATTAGATATATTTAGATTTAAATTGAAAGTTTTCTTGACTTGATTAACAAAAATTACTTTCTTAACATTTTTTTCTTACTGAACAGAACATGTTCACATTTAATATAATATTATAAATATTGTACAAATACTTTTTCGTATTCTTATTTTGGTACTGTGAACCTGACACTTTGACTTATGTTTATTTCAATAAATATGCTTGTTAAGTTAAGGTCCAACTGCCTGTTTGAATGCGGTGAGGTGAAATGATTCACGTCTTAACTGATATGAGTTCAACTCAGTAAAGCAATTCACATATGTACTCAAATAAGTGAAGTAACTAGTTAGTTAGTTAGTTAGTTGCGGTGGAGGGAGGAACGAGTCCTCCTCAATTAGCTAAAAAAAGACGTTTTGAATCCACAAAACCTCGTAATAGTGGATAGTAGAGAGAAGGTCAAGCTAGAACCAGCCAGAAGTATTTATAAAGGCAAGAATCTGGCCAATGCTAATGCTACAGATATCGCCAAGTGTATTGAAGAAAGGAGCCTAGTTCTTGCCAAACCTGGACATAGACATATCAGGTGTTCTGATGATCTTTTCTTCGAGATCTGGTTGACACACATTGCTGGAGACACCGCAGGATAGGCCAAGTCCAGCTCCCTGCCTTGCTATGGTCAAGTGCCCTGTAGACTCAGATATAATAGATATTAACCTTGTTACATCTGTGTATTAGTGAAGGAACTAATTACATTAATATTCAATGTTGAGAATTTTTTGACTTTTTTGACACAATAAATTATGGAACAATAAAGTAAAGAAGGTTAACACAATTGCAAATAATGGATTAACAATATGTTAATTACAAAGATTATAAAAATCTTCACGCTGAAACTCAATTCAGTTCATTGACTAAATACTTAAAAACACTTTGACAAAATATAGAATTTATGCAGGTCACGATGCACTGGTTTTCATTCATAGGTTTTTTGAATGAAAATTATAGTATTTCAAAATATGCAATATTAGTCACGATTTTATTGTTATAAACATTTGAATTTTTCGTTTGTTTTATATTCAAATGTTCTTAGATATTGCATGATTTAATTTTTTCACACATGTTTGCTTAATAATGTTGAAATATCTTTATTATTTTTAGATTGAAGAGAAGGAAATACTATTCTTCTATGTAATAAAATTAAATAATTAATTTATATTTCTTTTCTTTCTATTTCTTTCTATAAATTCAAAACTTGAATTTTTGACAAAATAAAAATATTTCATCGAACGACTGGCCATACAGAATTTAGTATAATGGAATACTCTTAACATTACAACCCTAGATGCGTCAGAGCTTCCCTTGATATTCATTCAATTACTTAGATATTTTTAACTATTTGTTTGTAGTTTTTAAAGTAGTTATCAACTGCATCAATCAATCTTTTTCATGGTTTTACTCTTACTCTTTCACCATCAACTTCAACATTATTTTTTGATGATTGCACTCTCCGAATGGTGCAGTACAAATACTGGCTATTATAAAAGGGATCATTGGTTTTTTATTCATTCTCTATTCGGACTGATGATTGTGTCTAATGTAAAAAATGTAATCGTGTTCGTAGGCAATCTAAATCCTTTTCTTACAGCTTAACACCGTTTCAGTAGTCAGTTTCTTAGTCACACAATTTCTTTATACACAAAGATATGGGAGGAATAGTCTAGTGTATTCGAAGCTTTGTTTCTCTATTAAAAATGTCACTCAAATGTCATAAAGATTAATGTCTATAAAATATGTTTTTATGGCACATATTCTTAAAGTTAACCATCACATAAATTAAGCCATTCAAATGGTTTTTAATAGAACAACTTTTTATTTGATAAATTTTCTTTAAATATTTTTGTTTTGTTTTACAGACAATGGGTTCTATGCCAAGAATATCAGTTGTTAAGGGTCAGCAACAACATTTGAGTCCTAGACCACTCTACAGAATTTTTGAAGAAAATTTAATATTACATCATGCTGAGAAGACGGCTCTCATTTTTAATGATAACCTCGGCACTAACACAATACAAACTCCTCGCCTTACCAGTTATGATCAAATGAATCGTAGTGCAAATCAATGTGCACGTTTGCTAGTTAACCGAAATTGCTTTGCTCAATCCAACAGTGATGGTGACTATATAATTGCAGTTTGTATGCAGCCATCAGATGCTTTGGTAATAACATTGTTATCAATATGGAAAAGTGGTGCCGCTTACTTGCCAATCGATCCTTCCTTCCCCGCAAATCGTATACAACATATATTACAGGAGGCTCGACCAATATTAGTTATACATGATGACAACATTGCTGAATCCAGATTTGGTTTAACGCCTACAATAAGCGCCTCAGAATTATTCAATAAATCAGCTGAACTCGACCATGCCAATTTATTATCCGAAGAAATGTTGGGAGGAAGTAATACAAATCTAGCAATTGTGCTATATACATCAGGTAGCACAGGTATTCCAAAAGGTGTACGATTACCACATGATGTTATTTTGAATCGTTTGCAGTGGCAATGGAGGTATGAGATTGTTTAATATTCCATTTCGAATAAATCATAAAAAATTGTATTCCCTATAACAGAGTTTTTCCATATACTACTGATGAAAAAGTGGGAGTTTTTAAGACTGCACTCACTTTCGTTGATTCCGTTTCTGAACTTTGGGGTCCCCTTATGTGTGGTAAGTATACAATTGCTGTATTTAAGGAAAAATAACTACCTTTCATTTTTTTTCTTTTCTAAAGGTCTCGCTATTTTAGTTGTACCGAAAGCAATTACCAAAAATCCTGAAAAACTTGTAGACATTTTAGAAATGTATAAAATACGTCGATTGGTCCTTGTAAGTATATATTTAGTGTATATCAGTGTAGATCACTCCGTCAATATTTTCAAAATATGTATATCTAAATTTATTAACATTTATAACATTTTTAATTAATAATTTTTACTTCGTATATACAACTACGAGTATAAATATATATTAACTAATAGTATGTTCAAGTTGTCAATGGCTTGTAATAAATAATATAATATATATTTATTGATATAATGTATTACATAAATATAATAAAAATTTTAATTTATCATTATTATACAATTCATAATCTATATATATATATATATATATATATATACTAACTAATAGTACATTTAAGCTTTAAGTACTTAAGGATTTAAGGACTTCTTATAATATACTTCTAATAATATAGAACTATTTTTTAAAATTGATTTTCAAGCTAATAATTTAAGTTTATTTTAATAAACGAATCATTGTATACGTCATCCAATTAGTATTTTGTGAAATACATTTCAATTGGGATAAATCTGGTACTAGAATACGGTCACAACAACAATTGTATTATACTTATCATAATTCAAATTATGTACTTCAACAAATTATATTTATTATGATACTATCGGTTTCTGCTTGACTATATAGTAATATATCATTTATTGGCACTTTAATATTACCATAAGAATAAATATTATAAAAAAATTTTTTTTATTATTTAAGGTACCGACATTGTTGCGTTCATTACTTATGTATTTAAACTTGGGTAATAAAAGAAATCAAAGTACAAAACTATTGTACAACCTTCAGATTTGGGTGTGCTCTGGTGAGCCACTGGCACATTCGTTAGCGCTGAACTTTTTTGACTATTTTGAGGAAGGAGTGCACACACTTTTTAATTTTTATGGTTCAACTGAAGTCATGGGGGATGTTACGTTTTTCACCTGCGAAAGCAAAAAACAACTATCTTCCTACGATC